TGGCAGGTTTTGCGGGGACCTTGGAAAGCAGTGAGTCCCTTAGAACTGATGTTCAAAGTTACAAGAACCACACAAAAGTCGTGATTCTTTGTTTCAAATTAGGTGTTATGTAGCACCCAGTGTATAAAGTGGGTACCTGTCTTCCATACTAGTCAGCAGGAGGTAGCTATGAGGGTACTGAAGAAAGGCCATGGAGGGGCCAGGGCGATAGTTCAATAGGCTAATCCTCCATCCTCCAGCTCTGTTGGCCACTGGTTTGTGTGTTGGTTGCTCCACTTCTGATCCAGCTTCCTGGGAAAGCAACAGAAGCTGACCCAAAGTCTTGAGACCTGCACTCATGTGGGAGACCCTGAGGGGGCTCCTGGCTACACATCAGCTCCATTTTTGACAGTTGTGGTCATTTAGGGAGTGTGACAGTGGATGGGAGATCTTTCTCTCTATATTCCTTCTCTCTCTAAATCTGCCTTTCTAGTAAATAAATAAATCTGTAAAAATTATTTAAAAATGGAACCCAAAGACATTTATTTTGGTGCAAAAGTTTGTTGAAGTCCTTGTAGAACTTTTTTCAAAGTGTTTTCCATAAAAGTCTTCACATATACAAGAATTTAAAATGTGTTTGCACCCCAAACAAACTTACCTTTTTTTCCCACCAACTTACGAAAGTACACTTATACTTCTTCCTGGATATTTGTTATCCACATTCCCATCTTGCTGACTCCCTGGACTCCATCTCCCTGTCTTAGGACTCTTAGATAAGCAGCAAGTGGATTTGAATGGCTCCACTCAGTCTCCTACTAACTTCACCTGTTTCCAGCACTGTTTGCATCAGTCTTCTTACAGATGAAGAAACAGACCAAAGAAGTCAAATGACTTGCACAAGGATACATAGCCAGCAGGTACCAGAATCAAGATTACTGTTGTCAAAGCATTATTGAGTCTCTGCCCTCCAGGAGCTTATTAGGTAGTGATAGGATAGGGTATGTGTATAGGAAAAGATGAGTGGACAATACGAGAGCCCGGGCTCATCACTGTCCAGCTCCTCAAGTACTCAGGAGGTACCATGACTCTCGAACATGGAGCTCCGTGCACTGAACTCTGCAGTATTTCAGGCATGGGTAGCACGATGGATACCCAGCTGGTAGTTGGTCTAAAAAATGAGCAGAGAGAAAGGAAAGACATCAGAGAGGGAGCAGGGGAAGTAGTGGGCCTGTAGAGATAGTGACAGGAAGGACAGATGCAGGCACTGTTGGCAAGGCACACTTATTGCATCTGCCCCAAGGTGGCTGGTGAGTTCAGGGCCCCCTGAGTGCCTGAGGTGTCCTTTGCTGCTTTGACAGTCTGTTAACAAGCTAGGATTCTGGGATGTATCCTCTGTCTCGCAGCTTTTCAACCTTCTTTACCTGTTGCTACATTAACCTACAATAGTAAGCCCAGGTTGGCTTCCAAAGATTCCCAGTTGCCAAGATCACAGAAAGGCTGACTTTCATCTGAGTGTTGGGTACACACTCAGTGAACTGTGTGGCCACCCAGGACCCAGGGGAACACACATACCTCTGTCCTCAGAGTTCAGGCATGAGCAGGACCAGAGGCCTGTGGGGCATGCATGAGATTTCCTCATCAAACTTTCTCTCCAGTTGGATCACACTCACCCTTAGATTTTCCATGACAACATGATGAATCTTTCCAAAGAGATTTACTAATTTACCATTTCGTTTTTTCAAGTTTTCTATGTGATCTGCCAGGGCCTGCCTGCCCTGATGTTAGTTAGCTCTTTGCAGCGTAAGATCAGCACAGGCCCATGCCACACACTGACTTGAGAAAAATAAGCAGCTGCTTTCTTGCTAGATTCTGGTCTTGGCCCTTTGTTCTGGCTCTTGGATCTTTTCAGTTCCATGACAGATTCTTAAACAACTTAGTATTAAGAGTCTGAGCCCTGATTATCCCCTCACCTTGTTTATCTGCTCAGCTCTTGTTCCACTCCAACTCAGAGATCCTTTCTGGGGGAAGCCCAACTATAGCCAGTTGTGCTGCCCTCCAAAACACAGTATACCCACTATCCTGGAATCATCTGTCCCTTTGATCCCTATAAACAAATAGATCCTCGAGGCCACTTTCTATACCCCTTCTCTCAAATCTCCAGCACGCAATATACAACATGACGTGTTTATAGCATGACTGAGAATACTGGAGTAAATGTTTTGTTGCCACATGGTGATAGTCCTTCTAGGATGCTACATAATACTTTCCATGGTGTCAGAAAAATGTGGCTAAGAAACAGGATTTATTGTGAGAACTTACAAGGGCCAGAAATCAACAAGATAAGCCAGAGATCTTCCAGTCCTCCTGTCTCACCATGGATATGTCAGGTCCAGAATGTTCCTAGACTTGCAATATGAATGCAAGGCCCTGTCGTCTATTAAACTACTTTTTTAAGCAAGTAAGCAAGGGTAAGTAGCTTTGTCAATGAGGGAATAAGCAGATCTCTGATGCTAGCTATTTACAGAAGACATCTGAGAGTGCCAGCTTTCCAGGAAGCAACACATTTATGTTTTTGGAATATTGTTGGGGAGAGGAGGAATTCTGATTTAGGTGCTACCTGCCCCAGAGGGCTCATTGTCTTAACAACACAGATAGGGATCCAGGGTCATTTGTTGATAATTTGGCTATTGTACCATATCATCATGAATGACTTGAGTGTATGGGTGGGTAGAGAGATGGATGGATGGATGGATGGATGGATGGATGGATGGATGGATGGATGGATGGATAAGTGAGTAGATGTACAGATGTATGGGTTGATGGGTGGATAGATGGATGATGGATAGAGGAATGAATGAGTGGGAGGGTGGATGGATGGATGATGGATAGAGGGATGAATGAGTGGGAGGGTGGATGGATAGAGACAAGTAGGAGTGTGTGTGTGTGAAGGAAAGCAGAACAACTAGCACATGTGTGCATATGTGAAAGCCCAACACCTAGTCAGTGCTCAGCTTTGTTTCACTTCTCTTTTCATCCCAGATCCAACTTGACAAATATCCGTCACAAGATTTCTGGGGGTACAGAAGGAAGTGGCCCCCTGGTGCTAAACCTGAAAACTCTGAACCAAGTTGGGAGTGGGTGGTGAAGAGACCTATGTGGAATAGTTTTTTGGCAGTCTTCCTCCTCCCACCTTCCCCAGACTTCCTCAGCTTGTCTTGTTCCTTTCTGTAACACATTTTTTACCTTTCAGCGGTGCCTTGATGCACCTTTTAACCCAATGTCACTTGATTTAAAAAGATGAGAGGCTCCCACACACTGAGACTTGTTCCTGGGTCATGACTCAAAAGCAGCAATGGACCTAGACCCAGTTTAGGGTTCTAAGATGGGTACAAGTTAAGGCCAAGTCAACTTTGGGCCCCACCTTTGCTGTCCAGCTCCTTTGCTGTCCAGTCCCCATTTTCCAAAGGTGCTGCTAGATCTGCACCTTCATCATATAGATCTGTGGTTCTATAACTTCAGGTTGCCTCAGAAACACATAGAAATTGCCTATAGTGCACTAGCAATTATGTTTTTGCATCTTCAAAATGCTCTCCCCAAATTGGGTACTCAGTGGCTGAATAGCAGGAGGTTGGAGAAGAGTAGAAGGAAGCAAAGGAGCCCTGCATGGCTGAGCTCCCAAACACTCAGCTTCTCACCCCACCCGTGTCCAGCAATGCTCCTTTTTCAGAATGTGAGTGAACCAAGAAGTCATCAGGGGGCTCCTTCTGAAGAGACAGAAGAGCTGGGCAACAACTTGGAGGTTCTGAGTAGAGGGCTGTGGATAGGCTTGCATGACTTACTAATAGGAGTTCTGTAACCCAGTGCTATGCTTGTGGCTCCACAGGGAATGCGTTGTCAAGGCTCCCGCAGAAGCTAGCAATGGAGCATGAAGGCATCTAGGAAGTCTTTATCTGGTGGGGGCCATTAGGCTCTGTGCTGGTGCGGTGGGAGTGGGGTGCAAGAAAGCAGTTAGTGGGGAAGGAAGCACATATATCAACACCCAGAGCTGACTCATGGCAACTGAGCCCGTGAGTTGTCCAATTGCAGTCTCCCAGGGCCAGGAGCTGCACCTTTCATGCAAAGCTCTTCTTCAAGGCAGCAGGGAGGGAGGACACCTCCCCTGCCTCCACCCGTGAGAGTAGAGAGGCTTCTCCATCCGCACCTTTGCCCAGGGCCTGCCTCCAACTCCAAAGGTTGATTTTCCCCATGAACTAGTCTGTGGCATTGGACAAAGAGTTTTATCTCTCAAAGAACAGTACTGACGATTTCTGGATAAGCGTTTGGGAGTGGGTTGCCTCTGTTTGCACTGTTGCAGAGAATCTTTGGCATCTCAATGGCCCACTCTGTCACCTTGGAGAGTTTGACCAGCGCTCTCCCAGCACGCCAGCTCCTACCTTCAGCCTTGTGCATGTAGGATTGTAGTGCAGTGGCCAGAGGTTCTGCTTCAACCCTTCTGTGCTTCTGTCCACTGTTCAGTTCTGCTTCCAGTAGAGCAAGACAGGGCAAAGTGCAGCAAAGTGTTCCTCTAATGAAATAAGATGCTTTGGAAGAACGTGTAACTTCCCCATCACTGTAATATTTATGTCTCAGCAGATGATCTTTGAACACAGAAAGAACCCTTCCTCCCTAGTAGATTGGAGCTCTCCTGGCAGAACAAGTTATGTGGTTGCTAATAAGACTTGGGAGTCTCACCCACAACGTCCCCCAAAAGGACCACCTCTTCTACTTAAGGGCCACACATTGTTACATATGGAGAAATGTGCCATTGGGTGATTTTGTCATTGTGCAAACATCAGAAAATATGTGTATGCAAGCTGAGACTGGGCAAGGAAGTCATGTGGGACCATCCACATCCCTGTCATCCATCAGTGACCGAAGCTTTGTTATGTGAAATGTGGTCAGGTTTATGAGATATGCTGGTTCCGAAGTTTCCAGATCCCCAACCTAATGATTTGTTTTTCTCTTTTTGTTTCCTAGGAACGAGTGGAATATCTCTTTCTCATAATTTTTACTGTGGAAGCATTTTTAAAAGTAATAGCCTATGGACTTCTCTTTCATCCCAACGCTTACCTCCGCAATGGGTGGAACTTACTAGATTTTATCATTGTGGTTGTAGGGTAAGTAGAGCTGTCTTGCTCTTTCTCCTCATCTCTTTCCGTTTGCATCTGTATGTCTTTTTTTGATTATAACTGTACTGTCCTTCAGGCAAAATGAAAGGATATGTTCAAAATCACTTTGAATTTAGGCTTTCTCCAAAGGGAGAGGGAGAGTACCTATGAAACCCCCTCAACCACCTGCTCCCACATGAAGGGGCATGGATGGAGGTGATGGGGCTGGGATCAGGGATGGAGTAGAGGGTGAGCATGTGTAGTCAGCTACATTTAATTGCTCTTAATGGAATCCAGGCTCCCTGTTCATCTGAGGAGAGGACCTATTTAGGGATTTTGTTCCATCTCTAGCCACATCTGGGCCAACAGCCCCTTGGCACAGTCAATTTTATTTAGCTCGCCTGTAATGGAGGGGGTACCTACAGAGCTGACAGACTGGGCCTGTGGCCCTTGGGGTGTTCATGCTTCATGCCTGGTCCTTCATGCCTGGTCACCTCCAAAGTGGACCTTTGGACCTTATTCATGGACCCCCAGATACCAACCTGCCCAGGGCATGTGGATGAGAGGAGAGCAAGGATCTATGAAATACCAGGTGGGTGGCCGAACCTGGCCCAAGCACACTTTCCCCAATGCCCTGCCCACTTAAGTTGAAGGCTGTTAACACATCCTATAAGGGATCATAAGTACATTTAAAAGTGATGATCTCCTCACCAGGATCTAATTTGACTGAAAGATTCTCCAAGGAATGTTTGTACCTAACGTCTGTGTGTGTAGTGTGAAATATGGTTCACTAAAATGCAGCTGATCGACTCCCCGCAACTCATCTGCTTTGTAGAGGAGGGAGACCTGTTTAGAAGAAGCTGGTTTCTCTAGGCATGTAGCATGGAGTCTGCTGGTTGCTCAGGCAGCAGCCACATTGCCTTTACAGTCCCTTGAAGGCTCAGTGTTAAGGCCACACTGTCAGGAGACTGAGATCCCAAGAAGAGCTGATCCTGAGCCACCATGGCCATATGCAGTGCATGCGTGCTCCTTATCCTGTGGGTGTGCCTGGCCTTTGCTGGAGGAAATAGCACAGGTGTACATCCAAATAATTGGCTCTGGTCATCTGGATGGCTTATGATAGCTGTGTGTAACTGCCTTAAAAATTTTTTTCTGTGTTACTTCACCTGGCCAAGGAGTGCTACACATTGGCTGCCTAAACATCAAGGGTAGTTGGCTGCCATGCAAGGGTGCTAAGGCAATTATGCATGAGCCAGGTGCCCCTCTGGCTCTAGAGTCCCGGGGATGAAGAGAGGGTCAAGCTAGAAAAATCAAGAAGCAATTGAACAGATGCCTGGAGTTAGCTCAGTAAACCATAAAGAGGATCTTTAAGGTGGGCAGTTCCCCATGCCCCTAAATCCTTTTTAAACTCAGCCTCATTCTGAAGGCCTCTGTCTCACACACACACATAGAGATACTCTTGTTTAGGCCAACTACCTGCCTTTTCTTCTCCCATTTATGGGATGGGTTGGAGTTGATTGTATGAGCTGTAATACATTCATAGCCCTCACTAAGGTATGGTAGGGGGAAGGAAGAAGGTCAGAATGTGGGGGTCGAGGTTCTTCCTGCTCAGTGGTACAGGACAGGCAGAGCATGGCTGTCTATGATTATATGTTTATCTGCAATTCATCTGGACTGCCTTCATCCCTTCTCCTGGACCTCTTCCCCACTACCACTGGGACACACTGTGGGCTCAACCTCCATGCCATCCATGCCATGAGGCTGAGGAAGGGGCCAAGGCAACCCAATAGGGTACTCCTCTGAAAAATGCCCTATCCCGAGCCATGAGGATGCCAACCAGCCCCTTGACTTTACTGTGACTGACCATAACCATTGAGGCCCAATTCCCTACTGACCTCACTCTTGGCCGTATTGATCACCTCATTCCTCCAGGGTTGGTAGTGCTGCCTGGGACCTTCCCTCTGTCCTGGGTATAAACCACAGCCCATACAATGTAAGGAGGTCCTCCCTTGCTTCTGCTGAGTCTCTTGGGAATACCTGCTCTCCTTGAGCCCTCCACTGTTGGTATCCCAAAGGTATTTGCTGGCCTTTCTCCAGCCCTGTCTTACTGACACAAGGCAAAGGAGGCCTTCTTGCCTGGTGCACCCACCATGCCCCTGTTCAGCCTCCCTGGCAGTGGTATGGCAGGAGACATTTCCTTCTAAAGTGACAGATGGTATTGATTGTTGCATGTGTGTGGAAGGGACTGGAGACTTCTATAAGTTGTTGCACTCCACGCCAGCTTGACACAGGTTTTTGTTCCATCCCTCTCAGAAGGATGGCGCTGCCTTGCCCAGTCCCAGGGTTCTCTAGAGCCCCATTGTCCTCTTCTCCAAATAGCACTACTGCCTGGCTTCAGGGATGCCATGCACTTGCCTCCCAGAGACAAATACCATGACCCCCTCCTCACCCCATCAGGCATCCTCACAAGCCAGCTTGAAGCAGAATGTGGCCTTGGTGGCCTTGCCTTGAGAAGTACAGTAGCCACTGCAATCATGCCTCTGTCCCAGCACTAGAGTTTCCTACCCATTCAGAATTACAGGCAGACCCTTCACAGAGCACCAAGTTGGGGTCCAGGCTAAAGAAGAAAAAGTGGTCTTTTCTGAAGAGCATCCTGCAGATGTCTCCCATGTGAATACACACAGTAAATGCTTCTGGGAAATGCTGGGAACAAAATCTGGTCTGGATTTTCAGTGTTGTTGGATCAGCTCACAAGCCTGCCTCCCTCTGTTTTCTCGGGTTGTGAGAACCTGGACTTCAGTGGAGCCCACTGCTCCTATCCAGACAACATGTGCCTGGGCTTCCAGGTCTTGCTGGCAGCGCCAGGCCAGTGGGATGAGCCAAAGGCAGAGTGGCTTGGGATGTCATCTCTCTGCAGTGCGCAGCATTCTTCAAGCTGCAGCATAGCCCTACTTACAGGCCCAGTAAGAAAATATATAAGGGGCACAGCTCTATTATCTCTGAAGTGAAAAAGCCCGGATCCCCAGCCACTGTGCTCTGGTCTCACTGCTTAAGCAGCCTGGGCACTTTCAAGGAGCACCCTGTGACCACACCCCTAAAGCTTCTACCACTCTTGGGAGGCTAAAGTAATTCAGGAAGCTCAAGCTAATCACTCTGGAGCCAAAGATGCCCTGGCCTCTATGTCCTGTCTTCTGTGGGGATCTCAGGTCTGCTGCTGGAGTTTCCTTCTTGATTCCAGGTCCCGCTGCTGAACAGACACTACCCAGTTCATACTCAGCTGACAGTGCATCAGCAGTCATCTCCAGACACAAAAGGTGGAGTGTGCCCCATGTGCCCTTCTCCATCCTTCTTGGTTGCCCTATAACTCCAGGGTCATTCCTTATCACTCGGATTTTGTGTTCCCACAAATTTCCGGTTACCCGCCTCCCCTTGCATCCCTATCCCCTGAAAGCCGTCTCCTGTTCAGGAACCAACAGGCATTTCCGGTAGACGGCCAATGCTAGTTTTGTGAATCCACTACTCTCTGTGCCAGCTACAGTAACCCATTGCATAATGATGTCTGGGTCATCACTGGGTCTTCATCCATGAATGGTCCCATCAGACTGCGTGACCTAGAATTATAGGTATCTTGATTTGCATACGCATATTGGATATCATTCACAAAATCATCTGAGAAGGTATTTCCCACAGTTAAGCAAAGTGTGAGGTACCCAAATCTGGCCATAAGAGGAAGCCAGCAACAGGCAAAAGAACAGGTGTAAGTGAATCTCAATAAACTTTATTTGCAAAATGTCTGGCCCAACCCCTGATCTGAATCATCTTTTGGCCATTTCTTTCCTGTTTGGGCTCCCTCCAAAGGCCCTGCTACTCAGCCACCTTCCCAGATGCCTTGTTCCGCTGGATCTGGGGTTCACTTCACTTTCTTTAGTTCTGATTTCAGGCCATGCTGCTCCCTGAAATCCCCCACTTCTAACATTTGTGTCATCAGACCCTCCACCCCTACTATCTTACTATAAATCACAGCAGACTTGTGGGTGCACACCTTATGTCCTGGGGACACTAGCTCCTGGCTCACTCCAGCTTCCTGGCAGGCAGTGTGTTGCCCACAACTTCCTGGTTCCTTGCTATTTTCTTCTCCAGGAGTCTGGAAATGAGCAGGTGTATTTCTTAAGGCTGTAATATCTTCCTTGAAAAACACAAGTGCCCATTTTGGCCCTTGATATGTAGTTAAATATATTGAGATACACTGCAAGTATATATTTAAAACAAAAATGAACAATGATAGACCTTCTCAACAATCGTTACATTTACTACATGTTGAAATGATAGTACCTTGCTTGGTTATGCAGAGCCAAATAAAATACACTGTTGCAATGTGTTTATTTTGTCTGCCGTGAAAGGTCGATGGCATAGGGGTGCACATGTGTGAACACAGCCAGGCCCCCTTGCTGTCTCCAACCTCTCCTGTTGTCTCTTGTGCTGATGTAATTGGGCTTTTGTCCTCATCGTGTCACCAGAACAGATGCTTCCAAGGATCCCTGATGGTCTTAATGCAGCCAAACCAGTAGTCACTTTCCCATTGAGGTATCAGCCACATGTCATGCATTTGCCATTGCCTTCTCACCGACCTCAGTCACGTGGGCACTGTTCACCCTGCCTCTGCTCCTGCCTCATAGCCCCACCATGTCAGTCTCCCTGACTGGGTTCTTTTCTTCGTAACACCTCAGTTTCACAGCACTCGGTTGTGTCGAGTTGTCACCTTCTGCACCTGCCTCCTAGGTAGCCTCCTGTGATCTGACCTTAAACACAACCTGTGCAACTACCACAGTTTTGCTTTTGGCCTAGACCTTCCCCCCATGACCTCCAGACACAACAAGGTCACCTCAATGCACCCATTCAGAGGTCCGGTCCCCCATTTTAACTCCCAAGAGTTCATTGAACTCCCACCCCCTGCCAGCCCAGATCACTCAAACCTGAACTATTGAAATCCTGTTTGATTTCTGTCACTCTCTTACCTCTGATTTCATCCATCACACAAATTTATCAATTCTGTCTTAAAGTGGATTTGGTATTTAGCCTTCTCATGTGTCTATCACGGCTGCCTAGCCAGCATCCACCCAGCTGCTTAGAGCAGGCTACTCTGGTCGTACCCTGTTGCAAGTCATTCTCCCAGCATCAGACTGTCCTTGGAAAACTTCAGTCTCAACCTGTCACTTTGAGCTAAGCCTTTAATGAGGTCCCCCACTTTCTCTCTACATTGCTTTGTTTTATTCATACTGCCTTTGTGGTGACCCTCTGACATGCTACCTAATCCCTTGGGCCTGGAAGTCTCCCCTGGCAGAGTGCCACATGGGTCATTCCTTCACTTCCTATAGGTTTTTGCTCCAAGGAGAGAGGTCCCTTCCCATTGCCTCCTTCTATAAAAAGAGCAAGGGCAAGTTCTTCCCCCTCCCCTGCACATTTTGCCAAGCAGTTATCACTCTCTAGTCTGGCGACATCTGTCTGCTGATGATTCTAATTATATCTGTATTCTTTATCAGAATGCAAACTCTGGGAGAGCACAGACTCTGTCTCCTTTGCTGTGGCCCTGGTGTTTAGAAGGAGCTAGTTGGAGGAATGAATACACAAGCTCAAACACACAGTGCCAGGCTGCCATCTCTTAGTCTCCCTGATACGCTGCGATGTCACGTAGTTTTTCTTCACTGAACTTTGTGTCATTTATTTAATAGTTCAGTATGCATTTCCTAAACAGGTGCCTGTGCCCCGCATAAAGTTGATTTCTATGGAGTTGCTTATTTGTGCTCTGCGAAACATGAAAGTAAACGAGGTTGTTAGGAAGAAGGGATGAGTGGAGAGAGAAGGGGAATGAGAATGTGGATCCTGGTAGCCAAATGAGTGGGGCAGCATGGGGAGGGCCAGGGTACCCTACATCTGCTTTGTCCCTGGGCCATGATTTGCCCAGCTCAGACAAAGTTAAATGTACCTTCTTCCCTGGCCCTCATGGCATGGCTGTGTGGCCTGCCCCTCATGGCATGGCTGTGTGGCCATTAGCCTCTGTGGCCATTCCTAAGTCCTCCTGCATATGTACCTGTAGTGCTGCTCCTATATTCAGGCCATGCTCAGAGAATGGGAGCCTAGCTGGGCCATGAAATGCTGTCCTGATGGCTTCTTCTCCTTTTGTTCTCTTTCAGGCTTTTTAGTGCAATTTTAGAACAAGCAACCAAAGCAGACGGGGCCAATGCGCTAGGAGGCAAAGGGGCTGGATTTGACGTGAAGGCACTAAGGGCTTTCCGTGTGCTGCGCCCCCTACGGCTGGTGTCCGGGGTCCCAAGTAAGTAAAGCCAAAGCCTGGCCACTGGGCTGACTTGTCAATGTCATCGTCTTTTTTGGTGACTGGATGAGTACTCTTTGTAAAAGATGCTGATGGCAGGTAAATGCGGGGTTGGGGATTTTTTTTTGAGAATGGAATGCTGATGTATTTATGTTAAGCATATATTATGGTCCAAGCTCCTGTACATCCCTGGGGGGAGTTCACAAAGATCACCCAACCAGCTGGAGACACCCAATCACCTCATAGCCATTGGAGCCAACCCCAAGAAGCTGAAAGAATTGAAAGCTTTGCTGCCACAGAGCCAGCTAGGCCTCATGACTCATAGGGTAGGGTAGCCAATGAATGCTCTCCATGCAGTATATATTGCCAAGGACTCCAAGGACAGCATCAGCAGATTTTCAGAAGGTGCCGCCCATTCCCTCCTTTCATCTCAGGCCTTGGGAGCCCTTTTTTGGTGAAGTGCCATCTGGCAGAGAGAAAACTGACTTTTCCTAAGCAGTAACGTGTGCTCGGCTTTCTCAATGGGGACAGCTGACAGCTTCATGTCTTTCTCCACTCAATCCTGCAGACCCCAGCCCAAGTCACAGAGTGAGCGTGACTTCTCTTCCTTGGTCAGCAAAGGCTGCAGGAGAATCATTGTGGACATACCTGCTAAGATTTTGCACTCTGGGGTGACTTGGCATTTATAGGGTTGGGGCAGTAAAGCAGGGATGTCTCTGACCACACTGCATTTGTGACCCTTGCCCTGCATTGAGTGCTTGGTTATCTTTATGCTGTTTGGTAATATCCCTTAGTTATAAAGCCATAGCAGTCTCAGGGGCCTTATTGTAACCTGCCCATTCCTTTTTATATGCTCACAGGTGAGCAGAAGGTCTTCCCCTGTCTTTCAAGAGGCAGCAGGGCCAGGTCTGAAGTCAGGCCTCCTACACTTGCACACCAGCACTCTTTCCTGCAGGGTAGCATTACCTCATTTAAAGAGGAAAGTGGTATGGAACCCTTGGCAGCACTTTTCACACAGCTATACTTATGCTTCTTTGATTTTATGGCTCTTGAAGCCCAGACTTGTGCTTAGTCTCTAAATCAGGATGGGAGAGGAATTCGCTAATCCAATGATAGCCAGAGTAAGATGTTTTTCTTTGCAGTGGAGCTCTCTGAGCAAAGCCTATGGCTTATCTTAAGAGCAAAGAGTGTAGAAGGAAACCACGCAAGTACAATTAAAGCAGGCTGGGTCTGTCTTGCCTTCACCACTGAGGGTTCTTAGGAATAACAGAATAACCGAAGACCCAATTCCTCTTTCGTTGGAGCCTATAATTGTTGAGTTTAGTTGGTCAGTCAGCCATAACTAAATAAAAAAAAAATCAGGCTGAGAGAGAGGAAAATAAGAGCGATGTTAAATGTGACCTTAAGAAGTTTCTGATTGTATAGCCCACATACCAGTGGTAAGAATTGTGAATTAATCCCAAGATTCAATGTTGCCATGGAAATGATGGGTTCTTCCCCATTAACTAAGTCCCAAGGGCCCCACAATTTTCCAGCATTGTGCTGAGTTTGAGAGCGTGTCATAAAGTGTAAACATAGCCCCTCCACTTGAGGAACCTGGCAGTCTAATAAAGAAGTATGCCAGTCAGCTTTTGCTGCAGGAATAGACACCCTCAAATGATAGCCAGGCATGTATATCTGGCTTGCACTCCATAAGGGTGTTGGTCAGCTACAGCTTTTCTAGAGTCTACTTGGCTCTGGCCTTAGCTGAGTTCTATATGTCATCCAATGACAGAGCTCAGATGAACTCAGCAGTTCCTAGTAGGCTGTTACCACCCTCAAGGCAGGGGACAGATGCTCACAATTGCAGGCATAAAGCTCATCCATACCAGCAATGTAAAGTTGCCTCCAGCTTACAGTATAGCTGCTTATGTCCAATAGCCCAAGCAAGTCACATGGCTGACCTCAGATAATAAATAAATGCTATAGGCTCCATGGAGCTACAAGTTTTGCATCCAGAGACTCAACCAACCCCAGATCCAAACAATAGGCAAAATGCATCTGTACTTTCACAGACATTTTCTAATGAGCCCTAAACAACTCAGCATGACAGCCATTTACATGGAATTTATGTTGTATGCAGTATCATAAGGAACCCAGGAATGATTCTAAATACAAGAGAACTGTGTCAGTTTTAAGAGAATAATGTGCCATTTCCTATAAGGAACTTGAGAGCATCTGCCAATCTGGGGATCTGTGGAAGTCCCAGGAGCAAATCCCTTGTGGATGCTAAAGGACAAGTGTACACAGTACCCAGAGAGCAAAACATTGTCAAATTGTCTTGAGCAACAGATGCCATCTGCTGCAAAGATACCAAGAAACTATTATTAAAAGAAATAGTTGCAGTAATTATCCTAGCATAGAGATTCTTCGTTGAGGGTACCTATGGTTTAGTTTCAGGGTGCTGCATGGACAGTTCAATTGGACAGTATAACAAGAATTCCACTAGAGGAACTTCACCAAGGTGTTTTGCTTCTGTCTACATTATAATAATGGTGAAATTACAGGAGTATTTTTTAAAGTTCATGGGAAAAAAATGAGAAGTTAAATGACAAGTTGCTTTTGATGCAAAAACTTACTAAACTTTGTCCATAATCTGCATTTCCATAAACTTTTTGAAGCTTCCTTAAATGTATGGATTTTGCTTCAAAATCATCTTTTAATCCCATTTTTCCTTGAGCTTTTTGAAATATCTTTGTATCGTGCTATCAAGAAGAGGTAATGTTCTTTGGAATTCTTCCATGGAGAAAATTAAGATTAGATAGACCCCATGACCCAAATCCATGACCCCAGTTAACCCTACCTTGTGGTTTAGGAAGCTGTTTTATCATTTAAGATGGTGACACTAAGATGACTTGACACTTGTGGGCAGCCTGCAGGTAACTTCCACAACCAATAGCTGTGTCTAGTATATTGTAGGCCTCCAGTGAAAATAGGGTAGTTCTCCTTGAATCTCATCTTACTCAACCATTGGTCACTTTCTTATTATCCGCATTTGGGAAGCTTTTTGAAACAGGGAAGCATGCAGAAGGTCCAGGTAAATGAGTGTACTCAGGGTGGTTGATATCATTGATAACAATTTTCAATATCTTCTACAACTGAATAAATGATTTCTTCTTCCATCGTTCATCTTACTTGGTGTGTTGCTTTGTGTCTTCAAGCAAAACTTCTCCAAGTCCTACGTCTCTAATTCTTGTTCTCCCATTCTTTCTTGCATCTAGAGTTTCTTTCCCACTACTGAAACACACATCTCTTGAAAAGGCTTCCAGTGACATCCACCTTGCTGAGTCCAACAGTCGGTTCTCCTTTATCAGTATCAGCATCAGTAACAGTCATCCTTTGAACCGTGTTGTCTCTGGCTTTGGGTGCTACTCTTTCTTAGTTCCGCCCTTACTTCACTTACTTTCCTTCTTGGAATCATTTACTAATTTCCCTCTCATCTTCTTAGTCTCAAAACTTTTGAGAACCAGGGATTGGTCCGTGCACTCTGCTCAATCTGCTGTCTTTCCCTGATTGGCATGTTCAGTCTCATGGCGTTAACGATCATCAATGCCTCTTCTAATAAAGACACTTTGTGTCACCAGCACAGACTGTTGTGTCCCTAACTGCTGACTCTGTTCCTTGAAGTCTAAGAAATGTCTTAAACTTAGCACATGCATAACACAACTCCTCACTTCCCCAAATCTTCTCCATCTCAATAAATGTTAATACACTCTTTTAGCCTCACAAGCTAAAAATCTTCAGCTGATTCTTTTCTGTCATTGTTTATATTTGATCCATTTGGAAATCTTGTCTGCTATACTTTCAGAATATACATCACTGCTGCACTGACTCCAGTGCCAGCTCCCATCATCTCTTACCTGAATTAGCACGGGATTCTCTGCTTCTACTCTTACCCTTTGCCACAGCTTAGACCTAACTCAGCAGCCAAAATGATCTTTTTAAATCCAAGCCATATGCTGTCACCCTCAGAACCATCCTGGAATTTCATGGCTTAGAATCAGAGCTGAAGTCCATGGGCTCTGATCTCAACCCACTCTCCTCTCTGACTGTGATTCCATCCACTTTACCTCCTCTCCCTGCTCACTAGCTCTAGTGCCCTCCATGCTCTTCCTCTGCCATTCCAAGTTCACTGCCATTGTTGCACCTTTGTAAGTGCCATGCTTTCTCTCTGCCTTGCATACATACAGGTACCTACAGGGGTTCCTGTTTAATTCCCCCCCCCCATCATCTCTGCTAAGCTGTCCCCCTTCCTCCCTTTTTGCAGCCATCCTCACACTCCCTATGTCCTTCCTGGCTTTGGTTTTCCCACATCACTTGTCACCACCTGGCACAAGTGTATTTACTTGTTTCTTTGTTAGCTGTGCCTCATGAAAATACAACCTCCATGAGGGGAGAAGTTTGAATTAGCCTTGTTACCAACTATGCAGCAACCTCAACAATGGCACATACATATGTGTAGAATGAATAGACCTCATTATGTTTGGATGGTGAACGTCCCCCAAAGGCCCATGTGTTAAAGGCTTTGTCACCAATCTGATGGTGCTAGGAAGGTGGGAACCCAGTCTAGCTATGGTCTTTGGATGTAGAGCCTTTGGGAGTTGATTGGAATGGATTAGGCCATCAGGATGGAACTCTGTGATTGAATCTTGGAGGCTCCGGAAGAGGCCACACAGATGCAGACAGTCACACTCCCTGTCTCTGTGAGGTGACACCCTGTGCCAACTTGAGATTCTGACCAGCAAGAATGTCATCTCCAGAGCTGGATCAATGGAACAACCACGTGATTTGAACTTGAACCTCTGAGCCAAAGTATGCTTTTTTTCCCCTTTGTACTATTAGGTTGCCTCAAGCATTTGAATATCATGACAATAGCCTATTTAATACAAACCCCCATTATTGAGTAATAGGGCTGCCCCGGCAGTTCCTAAGAACTAGCTGGTATAATAACAAGAGGCTAG